CAGCATCCCTGCTCCTGATCCTCTCCAGACCCAGCGCTGTCTGCATTCACCCAGCTGCTCACAGGCTTGTTTAAACACAAGGCAGGGCCGAGCTGCTGCCAGACTCAGTTAATGGACCCAAGGGAATGTCTTCAGGCAACAGAAATGGTGGAGTGCAGAAAATGGTTGTTCTGTTCGATTTCTCCATGAAAAGGTTCATCCCAAACGCAAGTATTTTGTCCTCTCCAGACCCAGCGCTGTCTGCATTCACCCAGCTGCTCACAGGCTTGTTTAAACACAAGGCAGGGCCGAGCTGCTGCCAGACTCAGTTAATGGACCCAAGGGAATGTCTTCAGGCAACAGAAATGGTGGAGTGCAGAAAATGGTTGTTCTGTTCGATTTCTCCATGAAAAGGTTCATCCCAAACGCAAGTATTTTGAACAGGATCTCCCTGGCACAGCCTCGTGGTTGTGCCAACAGCCATTTCTCTTCTCCTGCTATAGAGATCCCAAGGGAGGGCTGCGCAGACACAACCAAGAGATTCACCCCTCCTTGTGGCCCAGGAGCCAAATACTAAACAAATCCCCCCCAGCAAAGAGATTTCTAATGAAGTTCACTGAAAACAGGCCCTGAGAACCCATCTGCTGGATGCACAGCAGCAATTCCACTTCCCACAGAGCACCCACATCATCTCCCAGCCACACACTGGGATGAGCAGCAGCTCAAGAGGAGTCAAAGCCACCTCAGCAGCGCCCGGGCGCTCACGGGACTCACCCAAAGCCAGACCGAGATCGGCAGCAGGGAAGTGGAGGAAAACCAGCAGGACTTTGTTGGGGAATCCCGGATTTCCAAGGGTGAGGAGGTCACCACTGAAATGTCCTCACCCCCTTCCCAGCCCCTCAGGGGCTGGTCCTCCTTTCAGGCAGCAGCTTCTTCAGAACACACATTGGACACAGTCCCACTCCCAGCTCTGTGTTCACACACCACTGCAGCTTCCTCCCTTTCCCTAAGTACTTCATAGCCAAGCGCTCCAGAAATCCCACTGCCCTGATCCAGTGCCTGAAAAAGTTGCCAGATTCTTTCTGCTACAAAAAAAAAATCACCCCAGAAAGGGGTAATTGCCACCAAGTGACAACTGTCCCTAAGGGGCCACAAATGAAACTCGAAGAATCCCACCAATTTCCATTTCTTCAGGGCTCCACTGATCAAAGCCTGATTAAACTCATTATCCTGCTTCCTGGGAAGGCTCTCAGCAGCAAGCACTGGAACATCCTTTGACTCAGAAAGGCAGCTGTGTTGAACTACATTTGGAAGCTTCACTCCAGCAGGCTAGAAATGCAATTCTCATTATTGTGTGTGTGTGTCTGTTATTTGTATCTGCGAAAATTAAGCCTAAACCCCTTCCACTCTCTAGGAAACAGCCACTAATCCACTAAAGGAATAGGTGTCTCTGAGCCCTAGAAGCATATTAATTTAGGAAGGGATGAGGTTTCGGGATTCTTTGACCACCTGAATGTTCTCCTAGCACAGCATCCATTACCCACATCCAAAGAGAGAGCAGTGGTAAATCAATCCTCCTTCCCAGCACGAGATCTGTGCCTGCCATCAGAGATGAGGGAGAAGTTTCCAGAGACAAAACATAAAGCTGGTTTTGGGAACCTCCAAAGGAGATGGATGAAAGCACGGAGCCATCACAGACAATTCCCAAGGGACCCTCTCCCAGCTCCCTCCTGAGACCTGCACAAAGCACCACCCAGAGAAACCAAGAGTCCTGGGGACGTGCGTGGCCCGAGTCCTGGCAGCCTTAAGTCAGAGGGTCACAAGGTTGGGCAGATGGAGCCTAAAGACCCTCTTGTATTTTGGGATGGAGATGAGAGACAGACACCACCGTGAGGAACGGGACTGTCACTGTGCACGTGGAGTCCCCTCACTGCAACAAGGGCCATAGGGATGTGGCTGGGGACAGCGGGTGCCATATGAACGTGCTCAGGGCCCCCAGTGCAGAGAAGGGGTGTGCAGGGCACCAGCACCCCGCACAAAGGGATGTTACCCAGAAGGGCACCGCTCCCCCTCCCCAATCCCGGGAAAAAGACACAAGTGCTGGGGAAGAGGGGTTGGAGAAGGTGCTGGGAAGAGGACACAGGCAGACGGGTGGGTGTGCGGGGGCTGCGTGCTCCGGCACAGAGACGTGTCTGGCAGCAGTGCGTGAGGGAGGCAGAGGGACACCCTGATCCATAGGGAGAGGGAACACACCCTGATCCGGGGGGGACAGTGATCCTGGGAGGGGGACACCGTGATC